GAAAGCTCATGACTAAGATGCACAATCGCTCTCAAAATGTTGGTCCAGCTTTGGACAGATGACACAAATGGAACTTGTTTGAGATCTATCAATACGCAACCACAAAAATACACAGAAAAAACACAAACAACTTATTTAATAAATGGTACAATCACATTTCTTAAAATCAGCAGAATGATTAAATCAGTTATGCTTTTATGAAAAAGCACTACAGTCTTCTAAATGAATCCCATGTCCAAAATAAACAAGCACTGAGAGTCAGACCGTTAATATGTTTGTATGTGTATTGATAAAATGGCATTTGTGATCGAGTCATGTTAAGTTTAGCTAAGACATTGTGCTTGTTAGGTCATGAGTTAGAGAAAAAAACTACTACAGTCACACATGGGCTCTTTTCTCTGGGTGCAGTGTTCCCAGCAAGTGAAAATAAATATCAAAATTATTCATCATGACAGGAAGATCATATTTGGTGGGATGTAGGAATCCCTTTCTTGGTGTTCAGTTTTTTTGCTTGACAAAGACTTCAAAGACTGGTAAAGTGTGAAGGGACCAACAAAGGAGTTTAATTAGTTTGCATGAAAGATAAATAATGTCAGCTTGACTCAAATTAACCATATAATCTAAAGATAGGAACTACAAAAAATTACAAACAAAGCCCCATCTTCAGGAACTGGAACGGAATCAGACATATGACTGGTTCAAATCACAGCATCTAAACAAAAAAACACTTAAGTACTTAAAATGCACACAATTCTCTGTCTCTGTTGACTCAAGAAAGGACATTTTGAAAGTTCTAATTTGCGCTAACATACTTTATTCCTTTCCAAAAACATTTCCAGTCTAAAGAAATAACATACCACATCATAGCTTGGATTTCCTGAAAATTTGGAAGCCATGCTCTCGGACATATAGAGTTGATACATTTGATATTCAAACCTGCATTCCAAGAAGGAAAAACTCAGATTGTAGGACATTTTATTTCACTTCTCACAGGGAGGGTTCATTGATTGGCAGCACAGCTCCTGATAGGGCATTGTGAGATGAATTTCTTACAAAGCATAGATAGGGGGGAATAAAAGAAGATAATCCTGACCACGGTTTCACAAACTGTGCTAAGCGCATACTCGGAAACCTGCAGAAGCCGGCCTGTTAGTTCCAGTAGATGCTCTATGAAAATGGTAAATATGCGCCTGGATGTGCAGCCTCTCACAATCAGACACGCTTAAGGACAGTCGCACCGCCAACAACAAGGTTATCAACATCTTGCACAGACCGCCACAGGCATTGTGGCCCCTGAACGGGCAGCCGCACTGACCTTGCACTGACCACAATCCCTGATTTTTTTTTTAGGTGATCAGAAGAGAGGAAACAGGCTAATGGGGGCTGCACTGTGGCGAGATGTCTTCCTGTCACACTTCATCTAGACTGATGCTTCAGGATTGTTTCTCTGCTCAGGCTGAGCAATTACTGTCCAATTCCAATCTACTACTCAGCACCACTGTAATGAAAAATAATTAAGAGGTGAAAATGAGTTTTCGCATGAAATGGTTTCAGTGGTTGAACACAATTGTACTTGGCAGATGGCTACACGAGTGTGTTTTAATACAGCAAAGACAGTTAATCACGTGGCAGGTGCATTTTGCACCCGTTAATGCCATTCCTGTCAGCTCGAGAGATTAACCGAAAGCAATGTAGATATATTGTCTCTTTCTATGGAGTCAATGCGGGATTCCATAAAATGGTCGGTTCAGGGTGCCATTTGTCTCTGCGGAGCATTTCACAGTTTAGCAGATGGATTAAAAAAATAAAAAACATCACACATAAAATCCTTCATTGGGTTTTGCTGCAGATGGTAATTGTGCGTAGAAAAGATTCACTGGGAACCACAGTTGCGTAGAAAACGACATAAAGTCACAAAAAATACAGTGAATTCCTCTAAACTGACTCCCTAATGGGATGAACACCTATTAAGGAAAACTAAAATGTGCGGTGTCATTGAGATCTACATAAAATATGAATAAATTCCACTCATTACATATTTAAGCTTTGAATAATTGCTTTCAGATTGTGTACTCTGCACTAGACATTGTTGTGACGCTGCACTTGAATACTCCCTTAACTTTTGCAACACAGTATTAATATAAACACTGTTTACTTTTTAGCAACATCTTGTTCATACTGTACAGTGAGTGGCTTTCTATCCAGTTCTACTAAGAATACATCAGTCACTTTTTCTGTAAAAGTATATGAGCAACATGGTGAAATCAACCTTCATATAATGTTTACATGACATCAACGATACACTTAGAAGATAACAACTTGGATCTAATTGAGCAGCATTGGTTGTTAGTGTGATTTAATTTGTTTACTGGAGAGTCAAACTCGGTTTTACTGAGCTTGTGTAAACCTGCGTTTTTATCAGTTTGAAACACACCTCACAGACAGGACTTAGTCATGTTTCATCAACATTTTTCTGGGTCCCAACCCAAATCCTATTTTTCTGTTGCTTGAGTAACTTATACATTTGTGAACAAACAATTTCTGCTTACCCTGCAAACACGCTCGCCTTTCATACGTCACACATAGAACAACATGCAGTACCTCTGTATGTATACACATCACCATTTAATAACTTGCAGAGGTATTGGTTCCCCCATTTTGCCTTGAAATAAATTGATAGGCATAACTGTAGTTCCACTCGATGTGTGTCCTGTGGGGGCTGATGGGGCTGAAGCTGAGAGAACACCAATAACAAATGCCTAAAACCGGCCAAAGTAGTTTCTGAGGACTCTTGAATAATGGCAGCGCTTTAGTGTTCAGTTAGATCTAAATTATTTGTGACAGCAACAAAAAACCTTCTTTGTTTTGGAGCAAATCATTTGATATGCTCAAATCTGCATACCCTCCACCATCAATGTTTTCTGCCTCGTGTGATTGTGATGTTCTCATTAATGTTCTTCCACATTTTGGAAGCGTAGGGAAGTATTTATTTAAAATTCTAAGTACGCTGTCTGCTACATTTAGTGTCACTCTTGACTACACCACTTAGTGATGCAAATCAGGACACAAGTCATCCGAATAATCTTCAGAAGCATCACAAGAAACATCATTTTCCTCGCCGGAGTTACTGAGACAGTTGCTGAATGTGTCATGGTCATCATCATGGTCGTGGTCACTGTTATCTTTATTGCTATTTTTTGTGTCATTCTCAATATACTCTGTTACTAAGCAGGAGTCACTGGTAATGTGCTTTTTGCCTAATAATTATGAAATTCAGCACTGGCCTGACTGAGGTCATGTGGTGGAGTGTATAGGTCATGCAGAATATGCTGATCACAGAACTCAATGCTCCAAAATGTGCCCTGTTATTATCAAAGAGTTACAGTTAGAGTTAAACAAGGAGATTGAGAAAGCTCAATAAACAATACAAATCTAAACTGAAATAAGCAAAACCAGATTCCAACAATTCCCCCTTTTGACATAATTTTTTACATTTTTTTACCACATCATGGTTTATTATGTATCCCCTTTTGATGTTAATCTATTATATCATCAAAAATAAAAATAATGCAATAATGTAGTAGGTGTGCAAGCGTCCTTTATGTTAGCATCTATGTTTGTTAGCATCTAGGTTCTTCATTGCAGTTACAAGCAGCTGGTAAAGCACTTGGAATTGTCTTGTGCAGGAAATGTGCTAAACAAATAAACTTGCCTGGCTTTTGTTGCTTAAAGCGTGTGGAAATAGTGGTGCGTCAGTGGTGCTGTTCCAACCATTCCTAGTGATTAACTCAAACCAAGTCTTTTTCTTTTTAGAAGTCAACTCGCTCTCCTGCTATATTTTCGACATGAAACCCTTAATTTAGATTCTGACTAGATGTCATCTCCCTTTCATCACCTCATCATGCGATAGAATAAATTAGCTCTTGTTGAAATAAGAACTGAAGAACACGAGAAGTGAAGAATATACCACACATGTAAGGGAAATAAAAATTCCTGTTATTAAATGTTTAGTTAAATTATCTTTCTCATGATACACAACTTCTCCCGTGAATTTATAAAAAATTGTTCGTACCTTGAGGGTTCATTTAACAGTGATATATTGCCATTCACATACACACCAGTGGATATGCTGCTTAGCAACATGTCCTTAAAAAAAAAACAAGTTTTTGAGCAGTGGTTAATCCGAAATCAGTCATATCATGTGAAGTTATTAAGCAAAAATACATTTGATAAATCACTGATGAGATCTATCGAAAACTGCCCACCACACTTCGGAAACGAAGGTATCGTTTCTTATTTCTTTTTCCTTTCAATTTCAAAATAGAAAGGACTTCCAACAGTATTAGTTGTGGGTATTGTGTTAGCACTGGAGTTGTCTTTCCTCCTATAGAGGAAACTAATTAAACAAGTGCTTTCTTCCCCTTAATGCCAGTATTATATTAAGTCTTCTCAAGACGCCCGCTGTAACAATCCTGTAAGGTTCATAAATGCTCCACTCATATGATTTCCTTACAGAAACACAGTGGGAAGCGAGAGTATCATCAGAATTAACTCAAGATCAAGATTTAAGTCTTTGTGTGGTGTCACTTCATGAGTTTAATTTCTTTAGATCTGCTATCCTAAAGAGGTGTGCAATGTTCAAAGAACATTTAACAAATTCTTGTAGGACCTGGATGATGAAGAAATAGAGTGTTAGGTTATTTGGGTTTTATTTGGAGTTTCTGGACTTTGGTTCGGTGGTTTTATTTCTTAGACGTGTTTTATCCTGTTTTATTGTTTGCTGTGTTTTATTCTAATATCTTTTTTAGCTTCCTGTGTTGTTCTCCAACATCATTTCACTAACTTCCTTCCTGTGCTGTTCTGTGGTGTGTTCCTTGATTTGTTATCTATAGGTTTTTGGTTTTACCAATTTAGCTGTTTTTTTGTATCTGGCTTTGCATTAGGAAACACACATCTCCAATACTGAACATGAGAAATGAAAGAAATTGGGCCATTAAAACATGTATTCATCATTTGAAGGGGTAGATACCACAGTAGTTGCTATTCTATTTTCAAATAAATTGAATTTACATCTCTATTCACAAATCAAGGATGAACAAGGACACTACATACTAGTAAAAGGTTGTATTGCTTACATTAAATTATATTACTGAATGTTTATAGACCACCTGGAAGCTCTAAACACCAAACCAAGATTCATTTTTACATGTTATCTGGGGACTGGTGAGCTGTATTAGTGTGTGGAGGACACTGGGATACTCAGCTACGCCCCTCATTCTTCAAATAAAATAACAAAGATCGTCTTTCTAGCAATATACATTCAAACGAATTAAGCTAATCAGCGTGGTTGATGTGTTGTGGGAATTGCTCCCTGCTGAGAAATGCTTTACTTTTATCACCATCCCCACTTAGCGTACTCCAGAAACCACTAGTTTTTCATGCATGACATCATAAAAAGTTATATTGGGGTTAGATAATTCTGACCAGACTGGAGTATACCAAGTGCTTCACCTTGACCACAAACCCAAGAAGACCTATGGAGACTTAACACAGGTCTTTACAATGACACACAGTGTAAAACAAATGTGAGAAAAGTATTAGAAGAATAGACTGGTCATCTCAGAAGAAGAGAGAAGCGGGTAAACAAACTGAGCGGAAGTGAGAAGATAAAAGTGCTGTAGAGTAAACATGTAGAGAAAAGGGATGATGGTATGTTAACAGACATTATTAAAAAAAAATCAAAAATAAATCCTGACTTATAATTTGGAAAACCTTGTATAGAGAGCAAATTTGTCCAAAACTTTTATGAGACATCCCTAAATCTAAACAAAACTATTGTCAGGGAAGATCGAAAGACCACAAGCTGAACAGTGTGTTCAGAAAACGTAAGACCCTCTTGCCAAAAGAAACCATCATGATTTAGAAAACATCTTTTAAAATGTCCCCGGCAGCTCTATTTGACCAGCCTACAGCAGCAGAGTTGACAGAGGTAGAAGCCCTCTGACCATTTTCAGACAGAGCAGACTGAGTTACAAACTGAGACAATAACAGAAAAGGAAATAAATAAGGCCGTATCAGGTTTGAAATCAAATAAGGTGCCAGGTGCTGACAGTTCCCCTGCAGACTAGTATGAGACCTTAAGAGAAATTCTAATACCATTTTGTCCGTGCAACAAATAAAGATGTCAGTGCGATAAATAATTTTTATGTGTGACAGCTTTTCAAACCACTTGTTTTTTTCTGTGTTTAGAAGATGACAGCTGGGCCCATGCAATGTCTCTGTGCTACATTGTGGTTGTAGCTTAATGTGATGACTAAATGTTACCATATCAGTGTAATCAACCTCATGCCGTACAACAACTCCCAGAAATTCCTCTGTGTTAGTCACCAGTCTGTTGGTAGACGCCATGCACGTCTACTTCAGAAAATCAGTCGATGGACCTCTTCATGCTGGAAAAGTGTAGCAGAATTTTAAGCCATTTATGGAAAAATAAAAAGAATCCATCAGGTAGAAACAAAATCACAAGCTGAAACAAAGCAAGGAACATCTGAGAAGAAGGGAAACGAGTGGGGAAAAGACTTTCCATGGTTATTTAAAGATGCTGATTAACCATGAGCTATCAATGATACTTTAATAGTTTAAGTTATGATAATAACATTTAATAATATAAACTTTTAATGATATGTGCTACGTTGGGCTGTAAAGATTTGACAGATATTTTTGTGCTACTTTTTGTTTTGGGCTAAGAAACCTGCAGCTTGAAAAGTGACTGTAGAGTCCTGAATTAAAGCAGACCCTAACAGGTGTATAACAGATAAGGAAGTTGTGGACATATTCCCTTGTCTGCTCTTCTTCTTTCAGTCACTGCTGGTGGACATGCCTCCCTAGCAGTTTAATTAATGGAATAGAATGATTTCATCTTTTGTGTGGGGAAAGAAAAAACAAGAATAAAATTTCCGACCTTTCAGCTTCTAAAGGACAGAGGTGGGATGGGTCCACCATGTCTAAAGGATCATTATGGAGCAGTACAAATACGTTCCTTAATTAGCTGGTGGGACCCCACCTATGACGCCCGATAGAAGTCTAAAGAACAAAACCTGATTGTTAAACCTCTCCCTTCAGTAATAGGAGATGTAAACCTTCTAAAAAATTATTTGATTAAACTCCCTTCCTGGGTACCAGTTCCATTGAACTATACTTTTGAATACATGAACTAGATACTGGAGAAACTCAGAAATGACTTCATAATCAACTAATAATTAAGGATTAATGAGCTTCCAAAAACTTTGAAAGTCCTTTAACCTAGAGAAACTTGATTTCTTCAGATACCTTGAAGATACCTGGCTCAACATCTGTAAAACTCAATTCAGGCTCAGGTCTGTGGAGAGAGCTTACATGGAAGAACATCTAATATTTTTTATTACTCCAAAGATCAAAAGGTCCCAGACCAACAGACCTGAGTTTGGTCACTCATGGAGGATGTGGCAATACGCCTGTTGGACACTTTCAAACTTTTTGATCGAGTATAGGTTCAGATACAAGCTGGTCTTTGATTTTTTTTTTGTATTTGCGGAATATACCAACAAGTACTGTATAAAGAAACAAGACAGATACTTAATACACTTTCTGTTAGCCAGCTGCAAAAAAGCAATTACCAGAAAATGGCTCAGTAAGGAGCCTCCATCTATTTCAGAATGGAGAGAGATCAGAGGGGAGATTTATATGATGGAGCATCTGACCTTTTCTCTGAGATATGCAAGTGCTAAGTTTGAGAGGTTCTGAGCTGCTTAGCATGAAGCTAAAGTAGGGAAAGTGCTCATTCTGTCCTGTGCAGATGTCTTATTCTATCATTTGTAGAATCAGTATATTTTCCTCTATGAATGACAGTTTTGATGAATATAATGTACAAATGAATGTGTCTTCGTGACTCAGCTTTGGATTTACAGATTACAACTCAAAAACAAAACAATACTTCTTCCCAGGGGTGATTCACACGTATCATTAGTGGCTGGTATCCCCCTGTACAATTGGTTGGACTTCTCATTGACTAGTAGCTTCTAACACGAACAAGCCAGATTCTGTTCAGGTGGACATGTTGGAACCAGCTCTGGAAAATGGCTGGTTGTTGTACTGGAGATTTGTGTACCTAACTAACATGTTTACCAGAAGCAAATATTCCTGTTTATCTCAGGGACAGCTCAGTGAAGAAGCAAAGCAAAGTCAACAAAATAGAAGTTAACTTGGAAACCTGGTTGAGTATATGCAGATATTTACTTAGGGGGAGGCAGCACCTGGTTGAAATACCAAATTAGTGGAGTTGCATCAAGTCAGTAAAATAACGAAAAAGGGCCAATAGTGCGATAACAAACTAACTGGTAGATGCTGTCTGACTAAGTCTGTTGTCACCATGATGGATTGGATTATTATGTTCCTGAATCACGTTTGGTGCTACCAGTTGTGCTCAGAAATCTCATAATTGGTCAAAGAATGAATGAATGATGAATCTATGTGAAAAGTGTGTGTTTTGTCGTGTCAGCATGTACCCACATCTTCCTCCAAAACAATCTCATCAGCAGTTCAGAAACTTTAGTTACACTTCTTCCCTCGTTTATATAAAAGTTATACCTCACAGATTTTAGAGTTAAAACGTGTCTAGGTTACACAGAGTGTTTTTAATGTGTTTTACATTTATTTAGACATTGTTTCAACTTTTATTTGTAGTTTAAAAACAGTACGCAGTGGGTGTGTTGAGGGATGGTCGCCTTCAAAACAGCAGATGTGGAGATTTAGCAGGAAAACCTCCTCTGACACAGACTTAGTTCAAAAGAGGGGGATTTTATTTTCAACCAGGTGTGAAGCAGAAGTACAAATTGATGCATCAAACCTGGAGAAGTCTGAGAAATCTCTGTCTCACTCTGGGTGCATCCTCTTTTAAGCAGAGTACACACCTTCCAATATCTGGTTTTGCTTTTTCCTCAGTATGGGAATCCCACCACCATCTACTTACAGACGTTTGCTCTAGGCCGGAGACACAACTTCCTTGTTGTATTTTGTAAACGTCAGCCTGTACATTCCTCTATCTGATGGGCACTGTCCTTTTCTACAGGCATGTTGCCAGCTTATAATGAATCCATATCTGGTAGAATCCATATCATAGCCTCCTCCTGACGCTGTGACTTAGGAATATGCTATTCTTAAATATTTGAGGATATTTGAGGAGTCTATAAATCTGTTTACACTTCAGACACTACAAGTGTTTTTTCCTGTGACATAAATGCATGTAAGGATCAGACATTTATGAATAGACATTTATCCTATCAGTTCGATGGTGGAATCTGAGTTTGCTTTCTGATGTGATTGGTTCAAACATACTAACATAAATAGGTGTTAAGTTACAGCAAAATAAAAATATAATTGGAGGCATTTGCTATGTATGACATCTGACAGGATATGAAAGGAATATTAGGTCCTCCTTTCATCCGTCACCCCTTTGACATAAATAGACGCTTCAGCTTGAGAGAGAGGGAACTGTGTCCAGTTCTCAGAGTGCTGTCCAGCGTGAAACAAACAGGAAAACAAGACTGACAGTGACATCACTCCTCTTCCCTGCTCCCTGTAGCCCCGGATAAAGATTCTACATTCTCTGTCTTAAAATAGCAGGTCGGTAAGCATCATTAGAGGCAGCTAGACAGCTTACTATCACATGTTCTAGTGTGACAAAAAAGTATTTTTGCCAGTTAACTAACCTCTTTGGAAATTTTGCACATGAGATGTGAATTCAGCTGCAATTCAGATTGGCTATCTGGCAAATGAAGGGACCAAACTCAGTCTTGGATTCAGTTGGGACAGGGTTGTGTGCTGGGCTGGGAGTGTTTTCGTGTTTGGACTGATTTTGTATTTTGTGATTTTGTGTTGTTTGGTCTTCCTGCCTCAGGACGACAGATGTAAACTAGCAACTATGCTAGAATCTGGCTCATTTACAATCTGTATGAGATTGTTCATTAATGTGCACTGTCCTGATTAAAGAAATAAATAAATAAAAAAACTTCCTGCATTCATCGCAGGGTGTGACCAGGGGCAGTGAGGAGGTCTCCATGAGGCTGACCCCAGATGGTTAACCTACACCCAGAGCTCACTGGCCTCTAAAGCATCCCCCATGTTCAGGTTCATTCTGGTTACTTACCCCCTGTAGTCTCCTGGATCTGCCTCAGACCACCATGGC